CCGCGCGGCCTCCATTTTCTGCGAGTGGCCTTTTCCGAGGGCCCTTCCCCTCCCCGGGGTCCCGGCTCTGCCCCGGTGTCCCCGGGGCGGCAGCGCAGGGGTCCCCGCCAGGGACACGCAGGGCGGAAGCACTTTAAAAAGGCATTAATCGCTTCTTTATTTCAAATCAACCGATCGGCCCCCTAGAAATCACTAATACAAAGCATGCGCCCCGCTGCGGCGGGGCTGGGAGATGCGGGTTGGTTCAGGGGTTTGTGTTTTACTTCGTTGCTCTTCATTTTTTTTATTTCCTTTTTTTTTGTTTGTTTTGTTTCGATTTTCTTCTTTTTCTTTTTTTTTGGTGGTTTTTTTTTTTTGTTTTGTTTTGTTTTCCTCCTCGGTTGGTTTCCCGGGTCTCCGGACGCCGCGGAGGCGACGAGGGCGAGACGGTGGCGCGGGGCACGCGGAGCCCTCGGAGCAGCAGCAGCCTGGGAGAGATCAGCGCCCGGCGGAGGCCGCTACGGGCTGAAAGAGCCAAGAAGAGACGGGGACGCTCGGGGACGTCCCGGGAAGCACGGGGACGGAGCAACCCCTCTCCCCGGAGCCCGGCTCCGTAGGGATGGGGTCCCGCCGCTGCCCTCACCTCTCCTTGTGGTCTCTGACCTCCTCCGCCTTGTCCTTGCCCTCCTGCTTGGCCTCGTTGGCGTCGGGCGCGCTGGCGGCGTCGCTGTTCTTGTCCCCTTCGGCCGCCTTGGGCTTTGGCTCCTCCTTGGCGCCTTCTTTGTTGTCCGCCTTCTTCTCGCCTTCCTGCCCCTCCGCCTCCTTGGCGCGTTTGGGGGAGTCCTAGGGGACACAAACGGGGCTCAGCCCTTCCCCGTGCATCCCCGAAAGCCTCAGCGCGTCCCCGCGGTCCCCAGCGCCGCCCGCTACCTCCAAGGCATCCTCCGCTTTCCTCTTGATCCCGCCTTTCTCGTTCTTCTCCTTGGACTGCTCGTCGATCACCAGCTTGCCCTCCTCGTCGCTGCTGCCCTCCGCGTTGCCCTTCTTCTCGCCGTCGCCCTCGGGCTCCCGCTCCGGCTCCGCGTCCTCCGCGCACGTCTTCTTCGGGGTGGGCTGCAGGGGCGGCACGCGGAGCTGCAGCCGAGCGGGACGCGGCGCGGAGCCGGCGGGACGCGGGGATCCCAACCCACCTGGTAGCCGGAGGCTTTCACCGTCGGGTTGTTCTCGATCTCCCACAAGCCTTCGCTGAACCCTTTCCTTTTGTTGGGCTTCCCAAACTTCTCCTTGCATTCCTCGTACGGGAAGAGGTCCTTGGGGCCCAGGAAAGCCCTGCTCGGGAAAAGGGGGAAAGCGACGGGGTTCCCGCGCGGGATCCGCAGATCCCGTATCCCGCCCGCGCGCGCTGGCGCCCGACTCACGTTTCGTGGGTCCCGAAGAAGAAGACTTGGTATTTGTTGGAGGAGGATTTGACTGCGGCTTCCGGCATCTCGTCAATCTGTCGGATACGGAGAAACGGATAAAGACAGGGCAGGGGGGAGCATGGGCTCCCATCCCGCTCCGAGCCGGAGCGGGCAGCGCTCGGATACCGTGAACCCCGTCCCTGGGCACAGGCACCTCTGGAACACCGCGGCCGGGGAGGAACGGGTTTATTTCTTGGGAATAAACCGGCAAATCCCGGGCAAACCAACAGCCAGGGAAATAACAATTGCAACAGGCAAGGTGTGAGGATGAGGGCAGCGGAGGAATTCCGCTTCCCGCTCCGGCCCCGCTCTCCCATTTCCCGCTTCCCGGCGGGAAAGAGCATCCCGGGAAGCGCAGGAGGCGGCCGAGGCCGGCGCTGCCCTCGGC